TAAGTTATAATTTAGAAATCTGATTTTTAATAGAAATATAAAGCAATAGAGCACAGTCAATTTTATGAGGTAATTAAACAACAAATTATAACGTTAAAACTGACTGAAATGTCACACCATTCAAGTCTATAACTGACACTATCGAAAAAATAAAACGGAGACACAAATGATTGAAAAAAGAAAATAACTGAGTGGGCATCGTACCTATACAGAAACAGAGAGGGGCAGCTGCCTATACAAGACAAATTAAACTGTAGTAATTGACACACAGACACAAGTCGATCAATGCCTGCATCGAAGATAAAACTTCAGGCTGCCAAAAAGTAGGATTGATGGGACTCGAATGCATTCTACTGTATTGCAAATGGTTATCTCACTTATTCTCCTGAGAGCAATTTTTGCTCTCTTTTCAGTATATTTACCTACAGCAATTAATATTTTTACATTCAGCAAATTCACTAATCTACGCGATGCTTCATCGCATATTGCGAGTCACTACGTGTTCTGACTGAGGTGGGGTGATAATTTTACGTGTTTTGAATAAGAAAGAAAGTGAGCAATAATTATGAACAAAACTGTGCTTGAAGAAAGTGGATATTTCTTTAAATGGAACTACATTTTGAGCCGTTCCAATCGGTCCTGGATTTATTTCGAGTAAAAGAATACTGAAGAGACAGTAATTTCCGACATTGTCTCGATTCTATTTCGTGTAATTCGTGCGAAAAAGACTTTTCTTCGATTTTTATTTTCTTTGACAGTAGGCAATATTCGTCCCGTCGAATTATCTCCGACATCATCGATTACCAATATTTTCGGTAATCGATGATAAACACAAACGATTTACTACAGATTAACTGAGTTTCTTAAAAATTATTCATTTTCCATGGCCCATTATCTTTCGAATAAAGGGTTTGCGGTGGTCTTGCGTCAAGATATACGCGTACTAATGATGAAAAACACCCTGCTTAATAGTTGTAGAATGCAGCCGATATTATTACCGCCGGATAGTATAAGCTACACTACAGACAATAGGCGAAATGGATCAATAAATGGTTCATATCGACGTTCGTCGATAACGTGTATTACGCAGTGTATGATTAATCTTGCATATTCGACCCGATATGTTAAAAAACGTTTTGTACAGACTGCAATACAACTGTCCTGCACAAAGAATAAAGTGCAGGACAGTTGTATTGCAGTTTGTACGGAATAGTTTTCTAATATCGTGTCACATTTTCTCTGAAGCACGATATTTGCTGATTCGTGCAAGTGATACGTATTGTGTCGATCCTGTCCTTAAGGTGTGACTGTTTTTCGCATTGTGTTTAGGCGTGGGCGAAAACCATACGGCGAGAAAAAACAGAAGATAAGTCTCGAACGAAGAGAACGAACACGTTGAAAAGCAAGAGAAAGTAAAGAAGCAAACAAAAAATAATCAATAAATGTGTGGCTTAGGTCACAAGTGTGAGGCGGGATTTTGTCGGATTTGTACGGGCGCTTAAACATCTAAATTTTCGGTTAATTAACTTCGGAAAAAAGCCGAGGAATTTAAACTATATCGGATTTCACCGTTTGTGTAACAACTAGCTGAGGAAGTTTACATTTGAGTGTGAAGAATGCACCGTCATCGTCAACAAGAGTCGATGACGTGTCAGCTCTCGCACGAAAAGATATAAAAGGGGAGGTCACCGGAAGCTGAGGTCGTCCACACATGGAAGGTATTCTTAGTACTTGTGTTCGTCGATCTCCATGCCAAGGACTGTGATCCCGTCGGAGAAGACATAGAAGACACCACACCCTTCCATACAGACGACGTTCGCCAACTCTCCCTTCCACTTACAGGTATTTAAGGGTTAAGGACGCCTGTCAACTTACCAACGCTCTCCCTACTCGATTTGCCCTACTCGCCATTCAACAGATTCATCGGGACTTACCAGCCTGTGCCGATTAAGTGGTCGATGACAGATAAAACCCTGACCCGCGGCTTATCTCACAAGCAAAAAATGAGCTTGTGTCTGCCAAAAATCGAACCTGAGACCTTCTGCGTATAAAGCGGACGTAATAACCGCTACATCACAGACACCTGCCGAAAGAGGTGAAACGACTAATTCTTTTGAAGACAAAGTCCTTTCCAAAAAAATATAGGAACCACCATTTATTAACTTTGTGTTCCAGACATTACACTTTTGGCGACTGACCTTTCTTTTTAGGCTACTGGCCACCAAACAGTCCTTTAAAAAACACAGAAATATCCAATTAAAAATATAAACATTTTTAAAAAACAGGAACTGGTGATATTCGGACGTCTTCTCTTTTCCATCATACCTTCTTGGGTTTCGGCTTTTCTCTACAACGGAATAAGCGCTGGTAAAATGCAGATGAGGAAAGCTGGCCCATGGTGACGATACTTTAAAATTCTTGTTGTAAATTTTCGTTCGATGGAAATAATTAATCATAATTATCTCCATCGGACGAAAAATTACAAGGTGAAACGACATTTCTTCTTCTTGAATAGATGTTGGGCCGTAATCAAAACTGATTTTCCTTCTAGATTTGCAGACATTATCGGACAGTTTGAGTGAAAATTTTCATAAAGATTCAACCAGGCGAAAATACCAGAAAGACGTTTGCAATCTTCCAGTGCCAAAAAACGAATGCGAGTTGTTTCTCTGTATAAACGGCGAAGCAACTTAATAATTGAAAATCACGTTACCAGAGGATAAGATTAGAAAACGAATTTGCAAGTTAGATCTGAGCGAAATTGCTACTTCCAAAGAGAAGACAAATGCGTCGGACGTGAGTGTTCGTGGTCGTAAGGTTAACGTGTTTTTATCGTGATAGGAATGACGATAAAAGAGTTAGGTCGCGAGAAAGATCTGCTCTGGACAGTTTATCCGACATCATCCTCTCGACTCGTCGATGACATAGACACCCGCGTTCATATTGCTCCCCCCTTTTTTTTATCGCGTTTTAAATTTTAAACAATTCCCTTTTTTTCATTATTTATTCTAAACACCTTTTCCTCTATTCTTTATGAGCGACGATGTCAAAGTCCGGTGTCACCGTCTCGACACTTATGATGCTTGTTTTCTCCATAAGCTAATTTAATAAATACACATTTCCGTTTTAATTATGCACTGTTTTCGGGACCCCACTTAATCGAAACACGTGATCTGTAACAGATAGAAACGTGACTCGAAAGCACAGCTGTATAATAAGGTGCCGCATGTCGATCGAGCAAAGCGACAAAAAACTCGAAGTTGTGCTTGCCAGGTTTCGAACCTGGGACCTTCCGCGTGTGAAGCGGACGTGATAACCACTACACCACAAGCACTCGATATTCACGACCACGGAACATTTTTAAGTCCGCTTAAATCGTTGTGCTAACTTCAATTGCAGTAATGAATCAGTCAGTTTTTCTACAAAATCCGTCCGTTTTGTAAAAATTTAATTTCTAATTTTAGCCCTTATATAGTGGCTAGCAGTTCTAAATGTAATTGCGATATTGAAAATTTATTTGAAAAAAGTTTTCGCTTGAGATCATATAATGAAAAAGAAAACATTACGAAAGGAGAAAGCCCAATGCCTAAGTTAAATATAAACGCTTCAATAATAAAAATTTGTTCGACATTTTCGAACAAATTAGTATGTGAAATAAGAATGGCTTTGACAATTTAGCTGGCAAAAGACCCTAAAAATCGTCGATTCTCTCGTACTTGAAAAAATTTAAAAATCAAAGACGAATAGAATTTAACATTAGTAAATAATACAAAATAAATATTAAAGATTATAACGAGATAGTTACGGCTAATAGATATATTTAATATATGCTATATGTTTCTATCAAAGCGAGTATCGGCATTTAAAGGGTATAGGAAAACTATTGTTTTTAATAACAGAATTAATTATATTGAACTTGTTTATTTATTAATTACGTCAGATAAATAACCAATAGAAATACATTTTAGAAATTAACTGATTGCCCCTGGAAGTCAACTTCTTAAAAAAACACATTATCCCTATCATCAAATTTCACAACACACCACTTGTATAAAAGTCACTTTACAATTCATTTTCTATTACACTTCGAGATAAAATAAAATAAAACGAAAACCACGATGCAATCGATCTATATTTTGAGGCATATGGAGGCAGTTGCCACCGTGTAAGAGATGTTAAAAATTCCTTCTCGAACTTTTTCATTCAGTTTGCGGTCGCGGGTTTACACCTCAACACGAGGAGTTTTTCGGGTTTTGTTCACTTGTCTAATACCAAAATAAAGGCTAGTTTCCTATAGAAAGTCCTGGCAAGCAATACCTATTGGTAGATCACTCCTGTATTACATTGCTTTATCCAACTATTGCGTATAGAAAAATATTTTAATTTTTCTCTTTTAAATGTAGTATATTTAGGTTATTTATTTATTTATTTCCAGAAAAATCAACATGGCATTAGAAGTGCACATGGTTGTATTCATCGTCTTCCTTACTGTAGGTTCCGTAATGGTATTTGTAGGATTGGTTCTATATTGCTTGATCAAACCCGATCTATGCGATCAGTTAGTGACGTCGGTTCTTCCGCCGCCCACGGCGTATGTTCCAAGCGCACTTTCTTTTTCAGATTCGAAGTTAATGCTCTATAGCCCCACTTGGAAAGGTATTAAAATATATAAGGGTTCTTGGGACTAAATATTTCTTTAAACCTGTAAAACTTGAATGGTATGAAATTTTATTTTTCATGCCATTGTTTTGCAACAAACTTCGAACTGTTTAAAGTTATAGTTGTCTCATTAAATTTAAATATTTATCTTTCGTTATGAATCGGGTACATTTTTTCTGTTTTCGTCATCTGTCATAACTGTTATAAACATTATTAATTATAAATTCATAAAAAAAATGCGCAACTTTAATAAATATCGAGTCTATAAACATATAATATAAAATTTAATTAGTTTTATTAAATGTACAAATTTAATTGTTGAAGTAATAATGATTGTGGAGTACACAAACCGAGTATGTGTATGCCTTTTAGTGGCGAATATTCGTTATTTCTCGGTTTTTAGCAGTAGAACACCAAATGAAATACAGTGTAAATGTCTGTAGAATATAAGTTGTTTTGACCAGTTATAGTCGTTTAAACAGCCTTTAATTAAACACGAGAACACTGCTTGATGTCACTTTCGTTGTTCTATATGCTCTTTAACCGAATCTCGAATGGTGTCGAAGTATCTGTCCGTAAATTGGGATGGAAAGTCAAGTCCAGTCGATTACATCGTTGCCGGGAGAAAGGTCAATTCGGGTGAAAGGTCACTTCCGAATGGCGATGTTACATTCGATGGAAAGTCGTAATCTGCGCAACAAGGCCTGGCCAGAGAAGAGGTTTATGTCTTCCAGCAGCAAAACAACCTTTTCCACCAAGGCCTTTTACGCTGGACGAGCTCTTCCACCATTTCTTCGGACTCCTTTCTGTCCACTCCGGTCTCACCCGACGGTGTCTCCACCATCCATTCCGGAACTTCCGGATATCGCCCCTCCAAATATTGGACGAGAGACGAGGCGGTGTCGTCCGGAGTTACGACCACCACCCGTTTGACGTCCGGTGTATGACACTTTTCCTGCGCATCTTTCGGAAGCACCCTTATGACACCTGGCCAAGACCAGGCGTCATCCTCGGACTCTGCATTGTCCGAAATGTGCAACTTCTTCAACTCTCTGAAATTTTCCATTCTGCAAAGGAAAATGAGACAATTAATTAAGAAATATTCCTATTCTAATCTAAATTGTAAATTTATAATGCAAAAATGATTAATTCCTGTTAAGAAAGAATATTATTGTATATAATAATTTTAATCTTTTCATTGATTTTTAATGTTCGATAGAGGAAATAGTTTATAAAAATTGTACTATTCTGTTGACTGCCGTAACACAAAACAACTGCGAAAATAGAGGAATTATTTTAATTATTTAAGATTCAGACGATATTAATATATATACGTATGTAATTTATAAACTACAGCGGGGAATAACAGATTTATTAATTTTTATTTTGCCATTGGAAAATTCAAAATAGAAAGATGCGAATCCTCCGAAGAAAACCGTTGAATTCTTATCGCCGCCAACTGTGATATTTTGCTGATTAAACTTAAAGAGTATTTAAATCTACAAAGATCATAGTGTAAACTTACATCGCTTTAAGCAATCTCTGCAAACGAAGCAAAACTTGAAAAAGCACTCGCATTAAACAATCGCACGAGCCAACAATATATTCTCTCTCAACAACGAAAAAATTTTATTGTTGCATAGTGACTCGATTTAATGTTAAAAATTTGCACTTTGCTGCCAATTTCGTCATTTCCGTGTCTGCCTTTCTAAAAGAGAGTGATTTTGACCGATTATTGCACGAGTTTCTCTCATGGAAAAAAAAATCAAATTTGACCATAAAATTTTAATTTTCTAAATAAAAAGTTTAGTTCAAAAGTTTTTCTATAGCGAAGAAATTGCTGAAATTTGCATCTGGGATGCATATATAATGGAGTTTGGAGCCGTCACGTGATACAGCAATGACGTTATGTTTCGCATGACGTAATTCATCTTTTTAATTAATTAATACAATCCGATCTTCGTAATAAACCAAAAAAAGTACAACATTACCTAAGTTAGATGTATGTATACGTAACTGCCAAGTGTCGTAACAACTGGTAGAACGGCCTAGGAGTGTATATCGAACAAACAAGCATTCTCATTTATATGTATACATTGACTAGCAGTTGAGCCCAGCCTGCTCGGGTAAAAAGTAACAACAAATATTAAGAACATTACATTTTTTATATTATATCATATTATAGAGTTTGATTTATATAACTATTAATGTTATCTTACGCAAGGGTTTGAAACACCAACTGCTACGCAGTTTAGAAATATTTTAAATTGTGTACAGTAAAGAAATAAATAATTTTGAAAATGTGTTAGGTAAGGATTCATTATACCAAGTGGACTGTCTAAGTTTACCTTTGTATTTACATAAATCAAATACTATAGTGTAATAAATATTAAAACAAAAACCATATAAAGAGTTTTGTTATTTTGGCCTACCATTATCATGTTTATCATTATACTCAAACGGCACGAAATGGNTAAACAATTTTGAAAATGTGTTAGTAAGGGTTTATTATACCAAGTGGACTGTCTAAGTTAACCTTTGTATTTACATAAATCAAATACTATAGTGTAATAAATATTAAAACAAAAACCATATAAAGAGTTTGGTTATTTTGTCCTACCATTATCATGTTTATCATTATACTCAAACGGCACAAAATGGCACAATTTAATAGATCAAGTAGACACTAATGTGGTATCTTAGATTTTCTAGATACCATAATTATTTTTTACCTCTAAGAAAGTGTTCCATTCACGGGCGAATATCAAATGATCATATGACAACGAATCAAATTTTGCGAAAAAGGACTGACTGGGCACCCTCGATAACTACTTAAAACATATTTTGTGCGGACCGAGAACCTCGTATTTTGGATTTTCCAATTCCAATGCCATCGTACCGCTGGCGCGATAGAAATTCGGGATCGTTTCGGAAGGGGTTTGAAGTAATTCGAGGAATAATTGTTAAATGTAGTCATGCAGCGCGGCTACATTCTTTCTCTAATATGATTCTCGCTGCATAATCTTATCACTAACTTTTTAATACAGCCGTAGAAATGCCTATGTTAAATCTTTAAAAGAATAGCATAGATCATAGTATTTTCGTTAATTTGGAAATTCACTATATCGATATCACTATATCAACAGTCCATTCTACATAATAAAGTATTTTCAACGATTGGAAACCTCGAAGTAATTTTTACAAAGGGGTTAATGTAGATATGTCAGGACTTTACTGAATTATTGTACTTATAAATGTTCTCAGGGTTGACCAAGTAAAAAACAAACAATATTGAAATGTAACAAAAAGGTTCAAACTCGCAATTGCCTGGGGAAGAAGCAATAGATCATAAAATATACTTATATACCCTTCAATCTTTTACTCGTTTTTTTAATATACGAGAAATAAAATAATATAGAAAATAGATACACGTAACTAAGATAAACAACCAATGATAATGCAATGATATTATTGGAAAAATCACATTCGAATCCTTTCCATTGTGTCTTACATGCTCATATACTAACAAAAACTGCAATACTCATTTGAAATAATTGCAAAAATGTAATTCAAACAGCTACAATTCTTAAAATTTTCATACCAGCTGTCATTAATGCAAAGTATGTGTACATAAAAGAGTTTACAAAATAATTCGTTACGAAGAACCAATGAATATAAGTCCTACTTGGTAGCATCCTAGGTACCGGCATTAAATTAGTGTGGCGATATGATGATACCAATGAAATAAAAATCATTTTCTTTTCTCTCAACACAATAAAGATACTAGTTTTAAGTATTATGATTTTAGAACAAGCAAACAGCCATCCCCAGAACAAACTGGGTTTTCCAGAATTGGCTCTAAGGTTCATTCATGACTTGTACAAGAGAAATGTTCTAAGAGTGTCACTAAGGCTGAACACTGCCAAAGCCGAATTCCAGATCAATGGTTTCTTAAATACTTAATGAAATTTTTCATGAAGTGCCGAATGCCGAATATCACAATTACGTATATCGTAGACCAATACAGGAAATGGTGCTAATAATTGTTCAACCAGAGCCAAACTCGTTAGTGTAAATTGTAAGTTATTTTTTAATAATTACATGAAACATTAAAATAGAAGCTGTGCAGTAACTTTACGAATCAAATGTTTAAGAAAAAATATTCCTAAACATTAACAAGTAATTATTTATTGTGATATCGACACAATGCCGGAATGTAATTTTTAATTATATTTTAAATTTATTTAATATAAAATATATGTGTTGGTTTCAGTACTGTTTCGCTCCTGTATATCATACTTTCCCTGTTAACAACAGCCGTGCAAGTCATCTGTATTTAAAGAAAATATTTTGATTTCAAATAATATGACTTTCGGAGGAAACAGAAGTTGTCTTATAGTTAATCCAGGTCATTTGACCGTAAACCTTCCATACCTGGTTTTAACTTTCATTTATCTAATACCTTTTACGAGATTAACGGAGGACAGGCAGTCAGTGGGACGACATAGGAAATCTGTGTACAGCTTTTTCAAATTGCAGCCCAACAACACACACGATTTTACTAATTCCCGTTGAATCAATTTATAAATTACAGGAATAAGAAAAATTGACAATCTACACAATGTAAAGAGTCAGAAATCTATTAAGAAGTCTTCAGAAGAAAACTATGCAAAAATATAAATAAAAATTTTAGAAGTGTAGCATTAGCCGTAAGAAGCAATAGGCATTTTTTAAAATTACTGTTTCCAACTGGTAAGCACGGAGAGAAAATTCTTATCAAATCCATCATGATTTCGGCCATGCTCATCTTAAGAGGATTGAGGAATAAGTCATTAGCTACGGACAATTATAGCTCTCGCTCGCACTACAGGCACACAGACTACAGAGAATGAAGTTAGGTTTATCTGGAAATATATTATATACTGTACTGTATATATTTATTTGTGTAATCGACATCTTTATTGGAGCACAAAAATCTATGATAAAAAAATGGTTTAGTTAGGTATCATAAATTGATTATAAATTCTTCATGTTTGCATATGTATATGCAAATATATATTTCATATTTTTCATTCTATAGTCATATTTCCGCTGTGAGAGCAGTACAAGGACCCTTTTCAATTTACCATCGAAGATAGATGGATGCTCGAGACGGTAGCCTATGGAATCTGTGTGAGCAACTTTCCATTAATTTTTCATGGGCATTCTGTCGCAGTTGTGTCGCGATACGACCCTTATCATCCAGCAGCCCAATCTTTCGATGTGCATGAAAAAAAGACATTAAGTACCCATAAAAATGGAATGAGACAAATATTAAATCTCTAGTAAATTAGAAATCAATGTTTAAGATTAATTCTTCATTGATTTAACTCAGATATTATTTCTATTACTATTTATTTAAAACATTAAATCATACATACATAGTCTCATAAATCCGCAAACATATTGTAACTATAATATTTTGACATATGTATTAAAGTCACATTTCACATATAAAAGTCATTAAACTTTGAAATTTATTTTAAAATATTTAAACGAATAAAGTATATTTTTCATGTCATAGAAATTGCAAATTTCGCAGTATTTGTTCGTTTCAAATACAATATATTTAATGAAAATAGTTAAAAATTTCGCCAAATATTCCGCAATCTTCATGCATACATTTACGGAAAATTGCCCTAGAATAGACAATTATTAAATGAAATTTTTCAACAAATAAACATCATCATTACATAAAAATAAATATACTAATGTTAAAAAATGTATAAGTATGTNTAGTTGGGTAGTCAACTTCCACAATTTCTAAAAATCTACGAGTCGTTTCTAGTACTTCAATTAGATAATTTTGAAAGCGTAAACCTTTCATTTTATAGGGATCAATAAACCTACAATCACTCTTCAAGACGTCGTGACAATGTAAGGAGTTAAGAATCATTTCCATGGCTGTAACTCTGAAGAACATTCCCTTTTCCATGCAATTAAAAAAAAAAATTATAATTATAAATCTGAATATTTAGGAACAACAGAAATACAATAAAAATTACCCGAATTTCTTCAATTCTTGTTAGATGTGTTTCTAGCGACCATCTTAAATAATATGATGCGAAATCACGCATTATGTTTACTTCATAATTAATATCATTCAACTGCAAAAAAAAATTTTATATAAAATATTAGAACAAATAAACCTCGATTGTAATGGAATATTTTAAATACAGTATATATGATCATGTATAAACTTCACTTCTCCATTTCTTTACTGCATGTTATTGTACAACTTGATTTATTTGTACACAGCAAACAAACATGAAATCGATGCCTCTCAGGAGAGCTTTCTATGAAAAACTACCCATTTAGATGTTATAAATGTGAATAAAACCCAGAATAAAACATGGACGGACGAATGTTTATGGATCTTTAATTTTCTCAGTTTGCTAGTCTGGCTGAAGAGAGTATGAAAAGCCTCGAGATTCTATTGTACAGCAAGAAGTTCTTGCCGTACAATAAGATTCCATACAAGTGCATTCTATTTTAATACTTATGTACTGTATTTTAAATATTAAGAGTTGACAGACTTTTTCTATAACAGTTAATAACTTACCGGGATAGTAGAATATTATCGGATGACAATTTTATAAAAATTAATTTCAACACACAGTCTGTCTAAATTGAGAACCGCCGTTTAGTATTCCAGAATAAAAAACATTTACGACATCAAAAAGAAGCCTAAAAACAAAGGTCGGGTCGTCAAATGTTTGTATTCTGGAACACTAAAAGTGAATAAACGACGGTTCCAGTTTAGACAGACTGTGTCTTCACATGAATTTTCACAACTTACCGTAATATCACTCTCGCTTACTACTGTTCTACGTAAATGAGGAATCACATCTTTCGTATACCATCGATCTTCGTATCTTCCATACATTTTAGGTTTTAATTCAGCCTTTTTATACAACATTTCTAAATGACAATATTTACATCCAAATCCATCTGGATTCACGTCCGTATTACATAAACCATTCATATTATCACAAACGTAATCTTGTCTCTCTCTAATACTGCTTATGAAAAACTCTATGCAATTTTTGCAGGCAGGACCTCCGTAATAGTCTGTCCACGCTTGACGTTTTCCACATACACAGACTGACATGATATTTCTACCTGCAAGACATTCATTACTTTTAGTTTCTTTACAATAAGTCGTTTTTCAAGAGTTTTACAGTATTAATCTATATACAGTAGAACCCCTCTAATCCGTCACCTTTGGGTATGGGGATATGGTCGGAACGCAAAAAAGACTCGGATTATCAGAAAAAAGTAAAATAAACAATCTTCCCCTTTTCTGTCTTTGTAGCACTGCTAATTTTTTATTTAATGAAAGAGTAACGTGTTTACGTTTCACTCCTAACATGTTAAAAACACAAACAAAACTGTACACGTACACACAATGTACAACGTATACTATAACGAACACAGAAGAACGCCACGAAAGGTGAATCACCGACGAGTCAGGACAAGTTTCTTGACTCTGACCACGGTCGGATTAACCGGAGTGACGGACTAGCCGAGGACGGACTAGAGGGGTTCTACTGTATAAAATTAAAAACAGATAGTAACTGATCATTAATATTATCTATACTCTATTTTATGAATGTAAATTAATATTAAAATTAATGAAAATAAAAATAAACGTGCAAAACATTATCTACGTTACCTCTAATATATCTAAAATTTTCTATTTGTTCTATAGTTGCCATGATCGTAGATTATTTAAAAGATTAAAATACAATCAAATTCGATGAGCAAGAAATGTAAATTGAAACTTGAATTTTCTACAGGTATGTTTTTACTCTTATATTATGTTTAACTGATTTGCATAATATTCACGTATCATTACGAACTCTCACTCGATTTATCTAATTATTATCTAATTAACAATGTTAGAAATATAAAAAATATTTATTAATTTTTACTCAAATATTTAATGATCTGAATAGTAATTTAGCAATTAAAGGGGTGTGATTACAATAATTGCAATTTACATTTACACGATTATCTTTATTATTGTTAATGTAACAATTCTATTGACGTGTATAATATTATGATTTAGTTTATCTGGTGAATATTTATTGTTTCATGTAAATACATCTTTCTACGATAACTTGTCTTGTATCCGGTAGTTGGGCATGAGCTTCTAGCCCAGAGATGTCCAACCCGCGACCCATTGCACCCATAATTCTTTAGATATATTTTTATTTATTTTGGTAAAGTATGTCGTNGTTGGGCATGAGCTTCTAGCCCAGAGATGTCCAACCCGCGACCCATTGCACCCATAATTCTTTAGATATATTTTTATTTATTTTGGTAAAGTATGTCGTGAAAATTATTCTGTTTCACTGGATACACTTTGATGTCGTAATGACGTTATTGGTGACATAATTTGTAACTGACTAATAAAAAATGTTGCTGATGTAGCCTATCATTTTGACTGTTTCTGTTTTAAATATTTTTGTAATGAAGTGATGTTGTTAGTGATAAAGAATGGGCATCATTTACCAGGCGGATGAATACATAAGCCCTCTTTTGAAAAGAGTGTCTTCAATTTTCGGTGAAGGGTACCACCAAGACCTTTAATACAAGAGTTCAGAGGTAGTGTACTTCGGGCGCGCTTGTTTCGCCCGAAGTACACTACTTGTGGAGTCCGAGGTCACATTGGAATCCGAGGTAACTAACGCGCCGACCTCCTGGCGAAGGAAGCTGCCAAATGCACATTTGTAAATTTTGTAATATGTATTTGTAACGTCGAACCCTCGGCCTGTTACATAACAGTTACTCTACTGCAAGAATCAATGACAAAGTACAGTAGGTAGGTCGACCTACATCAGTAGCGTAACATCATTGGAAGTGGTGGATGCGCCGCATCCCTTGTATTTTCTAAAAAATAAATACATATTAATTTTAATTATATAAAAATAGTCGCACAATATTTTATTATAATCGCATTATGTTATATTATATCGTATTATGTTGCATTATAATCGCATTATTAAAAATCTGTATACTACACGTAAAGAAAAGATAAGATTGCTATTGTATATTTGAAAATTAACTGTTACTTCGACATTCATTAAATATAATTGTTAATGATGCTGAGAGAGATGCACGAGGTACAGAAAAAGTTCTAGAATTTATTTTCCTTACATTTACGATTTATGTATTCGTTTGTCATAAAAATTTGTCTTTCCATTTTTCTCAAGACTACTTCGACTTTTCGACTTACTTCTACTTAAGAAATAGTTAAATAATTAAGCGATTAGGGAATTGGGGACACAAACAAAATCGTGCTGAAAGAGCCGGAATTTTACTTAAACAAAAGCTTAACCGAGTACAGTGTAAACTGATTTCTTCGTATTATTAATGTAATAAAGACAGCAATTTTTCCAGTTCAATGAGAGTGACCGAAAAGACGTAAATTTTGGAAATTTCCGTGGACACCTGGTCCTAAAACGGATTAGTTAGAAAACAAATGACTGTTAAGTTTAACAAATTTCGATTTTTACAGCTATGGTGAGAAACGTTTAAAATTTACAACAATTTTGTCGCACCCTAGTGATGTGACAAAAGAGGCATTTGACATTAAATATAAATACGTCAAAATAATGGATTTTGCCTATTACTTTCAAATGAAATTAGTGTGTGCGGAATAAGAATGGCTTTGACGATTTAAATAATTTGAGTAAAGACACGAAAATCGTAAATATCGCATCGATTCGTTCGTAAAATTGAAGCAATTTGGAAATCAAAATAGAATAGAATTTAACAATAGTAAACAATATAAAATAAATATTGAAAATTATAACAAGATAGTTACGGCTAATAGATCTATTATATTTAAATTAGTAGATGTTATCGAAACAAGAATTGGCATTTAGAGGGCGTAGAGAATCTAGTAAATGTAATATAACAGAGTTAATTATATTGAACTTGCTTATTTATTAAGTGCGTTAGATAATCTATTAATGAAAAATACATTTAGAGAAGTCTACGGTTTTTACTGGCTTATCGAACAAACAAATACGAATGGACCTTAAACCATCGCTGACTGATTGCCCCTGGAAGTCAGCTTCTTACAGAAACACAGCTTCACTATCATCAAATGTCACGCACGCCACTGACCTACACCTTCGTGTCTGAAATTGGCCGAGCTCCTGTAAGTTGTGATTGGTTAGTGACCCAAATACTAAAGACTAAAGAGAGAAAGACATGGCCGAGCAGTGAGCATAGCCTGTGAAAGGGGAGGAAAGAGAGAGGAAGGAGTGGTGAGTGAAGGTGGAGAGGTGGGGGAAGGAGAGGTGGTGAAGGATGAAGTGGGATCCATGAGCGCCTACTCGGGTCCGTTGATTTAACATGAAACACATACAGGAAGCAAAAAACGGTGACTACAAAATGATCCAATAATGGTACAAAGATTGAAAGTGACAATATACACGCAGAGACAGACAGTGCCTATTTACAGTGGAAGCGGCACAAAACACATTATAGGGTTAACACACAGAGATTGGCGGGTAGTTGCCAGTGCCCCCTAGAAAGTATTTACAGCACAGACCAAGACCAACCCAAGTTGGCGGGTTACCACCCAAATACTGATCGGACACGAGAGGTTTCCTCACTTCAAGTCCAAGCTTGGACAAGGAGATGGTTACTGCTCCTGTGGGAGTCCGCGCGGCAAAGCGCGGCACTACGTACCTACTTGATCGTCCTCTTACTGAGGACTTTTGCCAGTTGGTCGACGACGTCGATTATATATCGATTCTGGAGAAGAAAAATGTCCTAACAAAATCCGTTTATTGTAGTAGGTATGGCTTATATGCATGTTTACAAGAAATTCGTCGTGTGAAGTCACTTGTGGAATTCCTTTTTAGAAGGGTTGGAGCTAGTGAATTCGTTGCTGAAGGTTATGCAAAGTTGTTCATCGATGGCCTGGGGGCAGAGATAGTGATAGTGGAATGGCTGTCAAGTTGAGCACTTGTCGAAAGTCCTTAAGGAACAGGATAATCTGTAACAGAAGAAACAGATTAGTCGCGCATTGAAACTGGCGTAGAACTGCGCTTGAAAATCGAGGATTTTAGTCTTTCTGCTCAATTTCCACATTATGATTGATCTTAGTTCCCTTGCCGTGTTTCCAGGTAAAAACCGAGAGAGGTTACGGTCGCAAGGAAGGTCCGTTTAGGACGGTCTATTCGACACCAACCGTCGATTCTAACCGGGAGATGTTGATGAAACTTAGATACCTGCGCTCGTAATTTAGTCCGTTGTTTTCTTTCTTATGACATTTTAGAATTTTAACGATCTGGTGCGATATCTCTTTGACCGTCAAAACTTCCCCTTTTCTTCATTTCTTAACCTACATCGATTATATCCGAGAGTTATCTCTCGATTTGACATTGATATTTAACCCGTGTAAGAGTCCTCCCGGGGCCCGTTGTTTACATTTGCGATTAATTGTATTAATAACTGAATTTTCTCTGCAGTTAACACGATTTCGGACCTGGTCTGAATCCTCACAATATACAATACAGTACATACATATTTATTTGTATAATCGATAATTTTATTGGCGCACAAAAATGTATGACCATAAAAATCAGAAATTGATTATAGATTCTTGATATTAGCGTATATATATGCTAATATATGTATATATATTTTATAATGTTCGTTCTTTAGTCATCTTTTTTGCTCTGAAAACAGTGGAAGGACCCTTTTTAATTTACCATCGAAGCTCGATGGATGGTCGAAACGGTAGCCTATCGTTCTGAGAAACCGGAATCGAATCTGTTTGAGAAACTCTTCAGTAATTTTTTGTGAACGTTCTGGCCCAGTTATATCGAGTCAAGAACCTCACCATCCGGCAGCCCGAACATGAGATGTGGATGAAAAAGGACCGTAATTTCCCGTAAATTTATTTTAAAAAAAAAGACAAAAATTAAATCTGTAGTAGATCAGGAATCAATGGTGTAGATTAAATTTCCGGCATATTCAGTAATAAAACCAATATCCGCGTTAAATCGATGTTTATTTAAAAAGACATGGATCATACATACATATTGATACATTGCAAACACATTGTAACAGTAATATTTTATTTATAAAGTAATAATTTATATATTATACATAAGTATAAAGTCACATTTCACATATAAAAGTCATAAAACTTTATTCATTTAAAAAATATTCTAAAATAAATTTCAAAATATATTTTTGTAGACTTAGAAATGGCGAGGAAACTTGCCAGGAATTGCAAATTTCGCAGCATTTGTTGGTTTCAAATAAAATATATTATTTATGAAAAATTTGGCGAAGCTCATAGCTATCTTCATGCATATATTACGGAGGAATGCCCTAAAATACACAATTATTAAATAATGAAATTTTTCAACGAATAAACATAATCCTTAAAATTTAAATAAAATACTTATACATTTTATATGTAATATGTGAAAATAGAAAATTACACATACCAGAAAAACATAATTGTAGATTTGTTCTCGAGTTGGGTAGTCATCTTCAACAATTTCTAAAAATCTACGAGTCATTTCTAGATGTGGAATTAGTTTATTGTGAAAGCCTAAACTTTTCATTTTATAGGGATCAATGAACCGATAATAACTCTTCAAGACGTCGTGACAATGTAAGGATTCAGTAATTATATCCATGATTAAATTTCTAGCGGCTATTGACTTTTAAGTGAAAATCGAAGAATTTGTAAATATAAATGTGAATATTCAGGAAAAACAAAAAACACAATGAATTTTACCCCAATATCTTCAGTACATCTTGTTCGATGTAATACGACACAACATCTTGAGTAATATATGTTGAAATCACTCATGATGTTCAATTCATTTTCTTCATCTTCTAAACAAATTCTCTGCAAAAAACAATTTTTCATATTAAAGATTTCAACAATTAAACCTCGTTTGTAATGTAATATTTTAAATACAGTGTATATGGTCATATATAAAACACATTAAACGTCTAGGCACTTCGCCATTCTTTAATGAATTTTATTGTACAACTTGGGTTTCGTTCGGTTCGTTTTCTTTGTACATAGCAACACAACGCAACATGAGGGAGTGCCATTCAGGACAGTTTTTTATGGAAAACTAGCCGCTATTTAGGTAATAGAAACATAGAGAAAACACGAATAAAACATGGACTAGAGGTGTATTTATGGATTTTGTCCTATCGTCTGCCTGATAGCCTAGCTGACGAGAGGATAAAAAGTTCCCAGATGCATCCCAACTCCTAGGTGTACAATTAAATCCAATACAGTGAAAAAGTGCTTGTACATTGTATTTTATTACATAACTAGAAATATTTAATTAAAATACAGTAGATGAAAATTTTTTTATAAACATTTACTAACTTACTAAAACATCAATGCCGTTTACTTCTCTTCTAGGTAAATAAGGAATCATATCTTTCATATACCATCGATCTTCGTATCTTCCATACATTTTAGGTTTTAATTGAGCAATTTTATACAATATTTGTAAATGGCAATAGTCGCATTTAAATCCATCTGCTTGCACGTCCGTTTTACATAAACCATTCATATTAACACAGACATAATCTTTCCTCATTCTAATACTGTATATAAAGAACTCTATGCAATTTTTGCAAGCAGGACCTCCATAGTAGTCTGTCCACGCTTGACGTTTACCACATACACAGATGGATGAGATATTTTTACCTACAATACATTTATTACTTTTACTTTGAAAAAAGTATTGAAAAAAAGTTTTCATTAATCTATATAAAACTGAAAAGATATAGTTTACTGCAGGCATTCAAAAAATGCTTTTATTATGAAACAAATGCTGTGTAAGAAACGCGGTAATGAAACAATTATTATTTACAAGATGATATAACTCTTAATATTAGTGAATAAAAATTGTTAGCATTATACTGTATAGCCAAATAAATAATCTTTTTTAATTATAAAATTACAATTAAGATATTATCTCGTATGTCTTTAATCAAAAATTTATATCCCACTAGTAGCCGAGTGAATAAAACCACAGAAAACTACTGGATAGAAGCACTGTAGAACTTTGTCGCAAGTTAGGATTTTATGAACACGCTGGCCACATGGGGTTTCCAGAGTTTCCTTTGTGTTCAAAACCTAACCAGAAGCCAGTTTCCTATAGAAATCTGTCGGAGAGCTATTCGCTTAGGCAGATTGCCCTTGTGTTACGACAAATTGCACGTATCCTCCATCTATCAATCCAATCTAATCCTTCGTCCGAAATCACTCAAAATATTTCAATTTGTTTTAACCTAATTCAACATTTTTTCATTGTTAAGCTTTAACCTCAAAACAAACGAAAAAAATCACAAAAAAATTCACGAAATTTAACACCAAATAACAATTTTTTTTCCCTCAAACATTTAATTTCGCTACAGACTTGCGATTTCTCTGCATTACAACAATTTAACAAATCTAACTCAAAAGAATGTACGGTAAATTAAGCTGTCGTAAATGGCATATAATCATTTTAACGTTAAATACGTAAAAAATTAAGATAATTAAGCCTGGATAATAAATTTTACAAATCAAATGACTATTAAAACTCAAATTACAAATCAACTCATTGCTATTAATACAGTATTTTACTTTATGAATGTAACTCGTAACCACGGAAGAACTATAATAGATTAATATTAAAATTAATGAAAATCAAAATAAACATGCAAAACATTATGTTACCTCTAATATATCTAAAATTTTCTATTTGTCCTATAGTTGCCATGATTGTAGATTATTTAAAAGATTAAAATCCAATCAAATTCGATGAGCAAGAAATGTAAATTAAAACTTGAATTTTCTATGGGTATATTTGTACTCTTATATTATGTTTTAACTGATTTGCATAATACTTACGTGTTATTACAAACTTTCACTCGATTTATCTAATTAACGATGTTAGTAATATATAAAAATATTTATTAATTTTTACTCAAATGTTTAATGATCTTAATAGTAATTTAGCAATTAACGGGATGTGATTACAATAATTGCAATTTACATTTACACGTTTATCTTTATTATTGTTAATGTAACAATTCTATTGATGTGTATAATATTATGATTTAGTTTATCTGGTGAATATTTATTGTTTTATGTAAATACATCTTTCTACGATAACTTGTCTTGTATCCGGTAGTTGGGCATGAGCTTCTAGCCCAGAGATGTCCAACCCGCGACCCACTGCACCCATAATTCTTTAGATATATATGTTTATTTATTTTGGTAAAGTATGTCGTGAAAATTATTCTGTATCACTTGATACACTTTGATGTCGTAATGACGTAATTGGTGACATAATTTGTAACTAACCAATAAAAAATGTTGCTGTTGTAGTTTGTCATTTTGATTGTTTCAGTTTTAAATATTTTTGTAATGAAGTGATGTTGTTAGTGATAAAGAATGGGCATCTTTTACCAGGCGGATGAACACATAAGCCCTCTTTTCAATAGAGTGTTTTCCATTTTTAGTGAAAGTTACCACCGAAACCATTTAATACAAGAGATCAGAGATAGGGTACTTCGGGCGAGGCATGCACGCCGCGTCGACCTGAGTGGGTCCGAGGTTACATCGGAATACCAGGTAACTAACGCGCCGACCTCCTTGCAAAGGAAGCTGCCATGGGCTCATTTGTATCAAGGAAGATCGGACCTTCGGCTTGCTATATATGTGAGCCGCCGAGGAGGTTGGAAATTCCTGTCCTTACCGGCCACAGGTCTTGGATCATTCTCTTGTCAAGAATGGCATTTACGTTCTGCTACGCGTTACGCGGGTGGAGAAGAGTCAGAGACGGTTGATGATAAGACGTTGGCACAGTCGAGAAAAGACATTATTTGTAACAAAACAAAAGTTTATTTAAGTCAACTAAAGAAATAAAAAGTTACACGGTTTCTAATTCTCTACCTGTCTAATGCGCGGAGGGTCGAGAGAGAGAGTTTACAATAATGCTTTCATACCTCTTGGAAAATCTCAGTGAAATATTCTTCTGTAATTTCGGTAAATTGGTTCTGAGGTGTGGCACCAGGTTCTACTGTTGGCGTAGTAAAGTCCGGCGTTGTAACAGAACAATATTCGACTTGAATTTTCTAATAGTAGCTGTATTACGTATTATATAGGTAAATGTCTCTTCAATCCGAACAAAATTTCGGTAGACTTTCTCACAGCTCTACAGGTTAAAATTCTCCTTTATTGTTTTTCACAGATGCATTTCGGGAAAGTTTAATTTTCCTGCCCATCTTCAGTGCTTAAGATTTCCCACATGTTTCTTCATCTTTTTTACAGTACTTGTACTATCAATTTACAATGTTTTCAAATTTATATAGAAATATCATATTTCTAAGATTATACATTGTCGTGTAAAAGAAAATTTTATTGTATGTTGAACCTTTTTAACCTGTAGAGCTGTGAGAAAGTCTACCGAAATTTTGTTCGGATTGAAGAGACATTTACCTATATAATATTCGACTTCGTCGCTGTGTCTCCTCTAACGAACGTCGAGTGTCTCCCCTTGAGGAGGAAGGACAAGCGGCTTTTATAATTTCATGGTGGGAAAATTTTTCATGTGATCAATTGTTTTAGCAGGTGTGGAGGTTAAAGTTGTTCACGGGACCAAAACAAAATGACGAATTTGGACTTTAAACTTTAACTCTTGAAGCAGAAGACTGCCGAAGTTAGATGGTCGAATGTTTACGTTAAAGAGAAGAGTTATAAGTTAAATATTTGATATTTTGATATAAGTGAAATATTTGATTATTTTTTTCTGACGATGGTTTTTCACGTAAGGTGATAAATTTGTTTACAATATGTCAAAATATTAGGAGCAAATAAAAAAATTGGTTTGCACACGGGTCGGATCTCACACATAACACATGCTCAACTGCAACAATCAATGGCATACAGGCATGAGAGCTTGACTAAAAGTACAGTAGGTAGGTCGACCTACACCTTCGTGTCTGATGTTGGCCGAGCTCCTGTAAATTGTGATTGGTTAGTGACCCAAATACTGATCGCAGATGAGAGGTTTCCTCACTTCAAGTCGAAGCTTGGACAAGGAGATGGTTGCTGCTCTTGTGGATGTCCTCGCGGCAACGCGCGGCACTATGTACGATCTTGATCGTCCTCGTACTGAGGACTTTCGCCAGATAGTCGACGACGTCGATCATCTCTCGATTCTGGAGAAGAAAGGTGTCCTTACATAATCCGTTTATTATAGTATGTAATTGGCTTACATGCATGTTTACAAGAAGTTCGTCGTGTAAAGTCACGCGTCGAAGTCCGTAGTTGATAGAGAGTCTGGCCCTTTTTAGAAGGGTTGGAGCTAGTGAATTCGTTGCTGAAAGTTATGCAAAGTTGTTCATCGATGGCCTTGGGGCAAATATAGTTATAGTAGAGTGGCTATTAAGTTGCGCGATCGTCGAAGTCCTTAAGGGACAGGATAATCTGTAACAGAAAAAACACAGATTAGTCGCGCATTAAGACTGGCGTAGAACTGCGCTTGAAAATCGGGAATTTTATAGTCTTTCTCCTCAATTTCCACATTATGATTGATCTTAGTTCTTTTGTCGTGCTTGCCGATTGGTCTCTTTCCTGTAACCCGAGAGAGGTTACGATCGCAAAGAAGGTCCGTTTAGGACGGTCTATCCGACACCAACCGTCGACTCTAACCGGGAGATGTTGATGAAACTTAGATACTTGCGCTCGTAATTTAGCCCGTTATTTCCGTCCTTTTGACATTTTAGAATTTTAACGATCTTGTGCGATATCTCTTTGACCGTCAATACTTCCCCTTTTCTTCTTTCCTAACCTACATCGATCATATACGAGCGTTCCATCTCTCGATTTGAAATAGTCATCCCTAGGACGTGAAATAGTCATCCCTAGGCCCGTTGTTTACATGCGCGATTAGTTGTATTAATAAGTTCATTTTTTCTCTCTCTCACGTAACCTTTTGTTATATTTTAAACATAGAAAATTTCATAATTAACACGATTTCGGAACTGGTCTGAATCCTCACAATATACAAATACAGTACATACATATTTATTTGTATAATCGATAATTTTATTGGAGCACAAAAATGTATGACCATAAAAATCAGAAATTGATTATAGATTCTTGATATTAAAATATATATACATATATTTTATAATTTTCGGTCTGTAGTCATGTTTTCGCTCTGAGGGCAGTGGAAGGACCCTTTTTAATTTACCATCGAAGATCGATGGATGGTGAAAACGGTAGCCTATCGTTCTGAGAAACCGGAATCGAATCTGTTTGACAAACTCTTCAGTAATTTTTCAATCACGTTCTGGCCCAGAATTAAATCTGTCGTAGATAAGAAAATAATGGTTCAGATTAAATTTCCGGCATATTCATTAATAAATTAATATTAATATCTCATCATATAACATCTAATAATCATTAATATCTGCGTTAAATCGAGGTTTATTTAAAAAGACATGGATCATACATACGTATTGATACATAGTCCCATAAATCTGCAAACACATTATACATATGTTAAAATATTACTGTTACAAAGCCATATTTCACATAAAAAAAGTCATTAAACTTTATTTCATTAAAATATACTTTGGAATTTATTTTAGAATATTTTTCAAGTCATAGGAATTGCAAATTTCGCAGCATTTGTTCGTTTCAAATAAAATTTATTTAATCAAAATAGTTAAAAATTTCCCCAAATATTCCGTAATCTTCATGCATACATTTACGGAAGAATGCCCTATAATAGATAATTATTAAATGAAATTTTTTAACGAATATACATAGCATATTTATTTTCATGCAAGGATTAATATTATAAAATATACAGTAGACCCCCATAACACTGTTGATAATTCCGTGTTATATGAATTCCATTTTGTACGAGTCATTAGATTTTACAAGTACGTGTGCCTGGTTGTGAACGGCTCTGGTATTTGTAAAATATAAGTGACTCGTACTTTATGGAAATCATATAACACGGAATTATCAACAGTGTTATAGGTGGGTCTACTGTATAAGTATGTTAAAATACAATATCACACATACCATAAAAACATAATTATCGATTTGTTCCCGAGTTGGATAGTAAACTTCAACAATTTCTAAAAATCTACGAGTAGTTTCTAGTACTTCAATTAGATAATTTTGAAAGCGTAAACCTTTCATTTTATAGGGATCAATGAACCTATAATCACTCTTCAAGACGTCGTGACAATGTAAGGATTTAAGAATCATTTCCATCACTGTAACTCTGAAGAACATTAACTTTTCCATGCAATTTAAATAATTTATAATTATAAACCTGAATATTTAGGAAGAACAGAAATACAATGAAATTTACCCTAATTTCTTCAAATCTTGTTAGTTCTATTCCTTGCAACCCTCTTGAATAATATGATGCGAAATCACGCATTATTTTCGCTTCATAATTAATATCATTCAACTGCAAAAAAAATTTTTATATAAAAGATTTCAACAAATAAACCTCGATTGTAATGCAATATTTTAAATACAGTATATATGATCACATACAAACTACATGTCGCCATTTCTTTATTGCATGTTATTGTACAACGTATTTGTACACAGCAAACAAACATGAGGTGGATGCTTCTCAGAATAGCTTTCTATGAAAAACTACCAATTTAGGTGTTACAAATGTAAATAAAACCCAGAATAAAACATGGACGAGGGGTGTTTATGGATCTTTAACTTTCTCAGTTTGCTAGCCTGGCTGAAGAGAGTATGAAAAGTCTCGAGATTCACTCCAACTTCTTGCTGTACAATAAGATTCCATACAAGTGCATTCTATTTTAATACTTATGTACTATATTTTAAATATTAAGAGTTGACAGACTTTTTTTTATAACAGTAAATAACTTAATGTAATTCTCCTCCGATAAAATTCTACTATTTTATAAAAATTAATTTGAAGACAGCCTTTCTAAACTGGGAACCGCCGTTTAGTATACCAGAATAAAAACATGTACAAGATCAAAAAGAAGCCTGAAAACAAAGGTCAGGTCGTCAAACCTTTGTATTCTAGAACACTAAAAGTAAATAAACGGCGGTTCCAGTTTAGACAGACTGTGTCTTCAAATTAATTTTCACAACTTACCGTAAGATCACTCGCGCTTACTACTGTTCTACGTAAATGAGGAATCACATCTTTCGTATACCATCGATCTTCGTACCTTCCATACATTTTAGGTTTTAATTCAGCCCTTTTATACAACATTTCTAAATGACAATATCTACATCCAAATCCATGTGGATCCACGTCCGTATTACATAAACCATTCATATTATCACAAACGTAATCTTGTCTCTCTCTAATACTGCTTATAAAAAACTCTATGCAATTTTTGCAGGCAGGACCTCCATAATAGTCTGTCCACGCTTGACGTTTTTCACATACACAGACTGACACGATATTTCTACCTGCAAGACATTCATTACTTTTAGTTTCTTTACAATAAGCAATTTTTCAAAAGCTTTTATAGTATTAATGTATATTTAAAACTAAAACAGATAGTAACCCCTCATTAATATCATACTCTCTACTCTACTGTATGAATGTAAATTAATATTAAAATGAATGAAAATCAAAATAAATTATAGACGTTACCTCTAATATATCTAAAATTTTCTATTTGTTCGATAGTTGCCATGATCGTAGATTATTTAAAAGATTGAAATCCAATCAAATTCGATGAGCAAGAGATGTAAATTGAAACTTGAATTTTTACTCTTATATTATGTTTAACTGATCTGCATAATATTCACGTATCATTACGAACTCTCACTCGATTTATCTAATTATTATATAATTAACGATGTTAGTAATATAAAAAATATTTATTACTCTTATATTATGTTTAACTGATTTGCATAATATTCACGTATCATTACGAACTCTCACTCGATTTATCTAATTATTATCTAATTAACGATGTTAGTAATATAAAAAATATTTATTAATTTTTACTCAAATATTTAATGATCTGAATAGTAATTTAGCAATTAACGGGATGTGATTACAATAATTTGCATTTACAGGTTTGTCTTTATTATTGTTAATGTAACAATTCTATTGATGTGTATAATGTTATGATTTAATTTATCTGGTGAATATTTATTGTTTTATGTATATGTTACTGTGAAAGACCGAAATTAGAGAATGTCGATATTATCCGGTGAATGTCGACACATACAAAATACGTCGGTGAAAGACCGAATATTTTGTTATATTATTATACATTCGAACAATCGCCGGTGTATGTCGACAAGCACAGATAAGCTTTGGTGGAGGTCGAAACGACACCCGAGAAGCCGATGTCGACGGAGAGGCGACAGTCTGTCGCCAAATTCTTCGCCGTTTCCTTCTGCTCAAATTGGTGATACCGTACGAATACAAGTCCCTGATGTCGACCGTGGCCGTACAGATGCCCGAAATGTGTTGGCGGTTGTTGTTGGAATAGAAGACTCCGACTTTTATAAATTAGCAAACAAAAATGGTACCCTCAAGCAGCTTTATACCCGTAATCAGTTCGTAATTTGTAAAGAAAAGTTACTTTCCATAGATGAGATTTCTTCTCAAGAAATATCGCTGAGAGAAGCAGCTGCAGCTAATTCGAAAAGTGGAGGGCAAGGCTATACACGCTGTCATTGCAAAAAGAAGTGTTCCACAAATAAATGCAGTTGTAAAAGCAAGGGACTCTTGTGCAATTCAAAGTGCCATAACAGTTTAAGTTGTTGCAATAAATAAGATTGTATAATGTTAATCACATAATTTATGTGTAAGTTTATTATTGTATTATTTTCTTTAATGATATAGAATGTACTGTTCGTTTTAGGTTCAACAGTTTATTTACATGTACTATTACTTAAGCTTTCTCCTATTTTGACATATTAAAAAGTTGCATTTTTGTCTTAACGTAATAAAAATATTTTTATTCAACATTTACCATCAGCGCATTCTGAATGTCGACATTTGCCGGTGTAAGTGAGAAATAACTATATTTAGCAAATATTTCGTACATACACAAAACGACTGTGTGAATGCTGACATTCACCGGAGAATGTTTACATTCGCCAGATTTCGGTCATTCACAGTAACATATATACATCTTTTTACGATAACTTCACTTGTATCCGGTAGTTGGGCATGAGCTCGTAGCCCAGAAATGTCCAACATGCACTTTCTATTTTTTAAATATTTTTCATTTATTTTGGTAAAGTATGTCGTGAAAATTATTCTGTTTCACTGGATACACTTTGATGTCGTAATGACGTTATTGGTGACAGAATTTGTAACTGACAAATCAAAAATGTTGTTGGTGTAATTTGTCATTTTGATTGTTTCAGTTTCTAATATTTTTGTAATGGAGTGATGTTGTTAGTGATAAAGAATGGGCATCTTTCATCAGGCGGATGAACACATAAACCCTCTTTTCAAAAGAGATTCTTCCATTTTTAGTGACTCGAATATACAAGGCTAATACCAAAGTAGAAAGGGCTAATCTATTCTTTATAGAAATAAAGAATAAATTAGATCCTTTCACTTTTGCCAGCTACTTCGGCATTTTTCCTAATTATAGGTATATAATATATACATAGGTCTATCTATATATTTATTTTCCTAACGTAATAATTTAAACATTTTAATTCTCTAATTATATTCATAATTATTTCAACAACTTTAAATTAATATTTTTAATAACCCAGAATTTGATCATGGCATCAACTATTAATTAAGCAAAGGAAAATAACAGAAGAAAAGTTGAAGTCCGTGTCGACCTGACTGGGTCCGAGGTCACATCGGAATCTCAGGTAACTAACGCGCCGACCTCCTGGCGAAGGAAACTGCCAAATGACCATTTGTAATGAGGAAGGTCGAACCCTCGGCCTGTTACATAACAGGTACTCTACTGTAACAATCAATGACATACTGGCATGAGCGTTTGACTCAAAGTACAGTAGGTAGGTCGACGTGCACCAGTGGCGTGCCGTCATTGGAAGTGGTGGATGCGCCGCATCCCTTGTATTTTCTAAAAAATATCGTGTCTGAAGTTGGCCGAACTCCTGTAAGTTGTGATTGGTTAGTGACCCAAATACTGATCGGACACGAGAGGTTTCCTATCTTCAAGTCCAAGCTTGGGCAAGGAGATGGTTGCTACTCCTGTGGGTGCCCTCGCGACAACGCGCGGCACTATGTACGAACTTGATCGTCCTCTTACTGAGGACTTTCGCCAGATAATCTACGACGTCGATCATCTCTCGATTCTGGAGAAGAAAAGTGTCCTTACAAAATCCGTTTATTATAGTAGGTAATTGGCTTACATGCATGTTTACAAGAAGTTCGTCGAGTGAAGTCACGCGTCGAAGTCCGAAGTCGCGAGAAAGGACCGTTTAGGACGGTCTATCCGACACCAAACGCCGACTGTAACCGGGAGATATTGATGAAACTTAGATACCTGCGCTCGTAATTTAGCCCGTTATTTCCTTTCTTATGACATTTTAAAATTTTAGCGATCTGGTGCATTATCTCTTTGACCGTCAAAACTTCCTCTTTTCTTCTTTCCTAACCTACATCGATTATATTCGAGCGTTCTATCTCTCGATTTGACATTGACGTTTAACACGTGTAAGAATCATCCCGGAACTCGTTGTTTACCTTCGCGATTAATTGTATATACAAATACAAATATACAAATACAATACATATATATTTATTTGTATAATCGATAATTTTATTGGCGCACAAAAATGTATGACAATAAAAATGGTTTAGTTAAATATCAGAAATTGATTTATATATATATAGTAACACCAAGAATCTATAATGATATAATATGCTATTTTATAATGTTCGTTCTGTAGTCATCTTTTCGCTCTGAAAACAGTGGAAGGACCCTTTTTAATTTACCATCAAAGATCGATGGATAGTCGAAACGGTAGCCTATCGTTCTGAGAAACCGGAATCGAATCTGTTTGAGAAACTCTTCAGTAATTTTTCATGAACGTTCTGGCCCAGTTATATCGAGTCAACACCCTTACCAACCGGCACCCTGAACTTGAGAGGTGGATGAAAAAGGGAAGTAATTGTCCGTAAATTTATATAAAAAAGACAAACATTAAATCTGTCGTAGATCAGAAATCAATGGTTAAGATTAAATTTCCGGCATATTCATTAATAAAACCAATATCTGCGTTAAATCGATGTTTATTTACAAAGACATGGATCATACATACGTATTGATACATAGTCCCATAAATCTGAAAACACATTATACATATGTTAAAATATTACTGTTACAAAGTCACATTTCATATAAAAAAAGTCATTAAACTTTTTTTCATTAGAATATTCTAAAATAAATTTGAAAGTATACTTTTGTAGACTTAGAAATGGTGAGGAAAATTGCCAGGAATTGGAAATTTGGCAGCATTTGTTGGTTTCAAATAAAATATATTATTTAATTAATTAAATTTGCGCAATATTTTGCGAAGTTTTTAACTAATCTTCTTGCATATATTTACGGAATGATGCCCTAAAACACACAAATTATTAAATAATGAAATTTTTAACGAATAAATATAATCCTTAAAATTATAAAATGTATAAGTATTTTATTTTAATATAATATGTTAAATTAGAAAATTACACATACCACAAAAACACAATTATTGATTTGTTCTTTAGTTGGGTAGTCACCTTCAAAAATTTCTATATATCTACGAGTCTTTTCTAGATGTTCAATTAGTTCATTGTGAAAGCCCGAAAGTTTCATCTTATAGGGATCAATGAATCGATAATCACTCTTCAAGACGTCGTGACAATGTAAGGATTCAGTAATTATTTCCATGTTAGAGATCATGGACTTTTGGGTGCAAATCGAAAAATTTGTAAATATAAATGTGAATATTCAGAAAAAAACGAAAATACAAATGAATTTTACCCAAACTTCTCTAAACATTCTTGTTGGATGTATTCTGACAAAACATCTTGTATAATATTTTCTGAAATTCAGCTTGATGGTCAGTTCATATACAAAATCATTGAAGGAAGTTGTCTGCAAAAAACAATTTTTCATATTAAAGATTTAAACAATTAAACATCGTTTGTAATGTAATATTTTAAATACAGTTTATCTGGTCATGTACTGTACAAAACACATTAATTAAACGTCTAGGCACTTCGCCATTCTTTATTGAATTTTATTGTACAACTTGGGTTTGGTTCGGTTCGTTTTATTTGTACACAGCAATGCAACGCGAGATGCAATCCAGGAGGGCTTTTTAAGGAAAACTAGCCGCAGTTTAGGTAATAGAAATAGAGACAACCCTAATAAAACATGGGCTAGAGGTGTGATTATGGATTTTTAACCTATCCTCAGCCTGATAGACTAGCTGAGGAGAGGATAAAAAGTTCCGAGATACATCCCAACTCCTAGGTGTACAATTAAATCCAATACAGTGAAAAAGTGCTTGTACATTGTATTTTATTACATAACTAGAAATATTTAATTAAAATACAGTAGATGAAAATTTTTTTATAAACATTTACTAACTTACTAAAACATCAATGCCGTTTACTTCTCTTCTAGGTAAATAAGGAATCATATCTTTCATATACCATCGATTTTCGTATCTCCCATACATTTTAGGTTTTAATTGAGCAATTTTATACAATATTTCTAAATGGCAATAGTTGCATTTAAATCCATCTGCTTGCACGTCCGTATTACATAAACCATTCATATT